TAAAATAAATATTAGGATAATAATTAAAATTTTAATAAAATATAAAATATGTAAATATGTAAATAATACAATTACATTTGAAGTGATGATAATTTATTATATTTTACTTAATCTTATATCTTTAAAAGTAAATAATCTATAAAAATTGACTGTATGCAAAGCCTTTCAAATACTAGTATAACATGATTATTATATAAAAATAATAAAAAATAAAAAAATACTAAACCAATATAAAATTAAAGAAACATAATTATTGTCAATGATAATATTTTAGAATATTATTGATTTGATTTGATAATATTTTAGAATATTATTAATTTGATTTGAGGTTAATTTATAGAATATTGTTGATTTTATATTGATTTGGATGATGTTAAATAGTAAAGTATGATATGAATAAAACATTTTTCATCTTTATCTTCATTATTTATATTATACGTATTTTTGTATTCATATTTAATGAGTACTTTAAATTTATCTACATTATCATATTTTTGGGTATTTAATAAGGATGGAAAATCTCAGTATCTAGCATTTTAAAAAATAAAAAATAATTTTTTAGATTTTTATTTTTTAAATTTTACTCTTATATAGTTAAATAATTTTTTAAAATATATTTTTTAAATATTGATATATTTGTTCTAATAAAGTTAAAATAAATTTTAAATTATTAAATAAAAATTAATTTAGTAAATATATAAAATGTATTGATACAAAGTGGGTGCTATATTTGTTGATAGTTTAGAATGTGATATATCTCACATTGAGTAAAAAGATCATTTATATGTGGTTTAAAAGATATTACTTATGTTAATTAAGTAATTAAGCTAAGTGTTAGAGTAGGCCAAGTCATTCGAGCTTGCTAGAAGCTTTTCTAGTGAGTCAGACAATTTTAAAAGTAAAAAATAGACACTTAGACCACTTAGGCTTGTTTGGTAAATAGATTTTATTTTTAAATCTTTTAAATTTTTTTGTTTATTATTTATTTTGTAATATTACCAATTTTGAAAAAACATGTTTTGAGCAGAGAAAATATGACTGTTTAAATAAAACTTATTTAAACAAGAAAACATGACTATATAGAATATCATGACTTTTTAAATTGGCTTGATCGGTGATTATTCATTTGTTATAAATAGATCTTTCTACCTTATCAATTTCACTATTTTTTATTTAGAGAGTTTTTAAGGTTTTATTGTATCTTATAGGTATAATTATCTTTAAAATGGTGTTCTTCATGCCTCAAAGCTATATTTTCTTCTTTCATATTATTTTTGTTTTTCTTACATTTTAGTATTATCCATTCTCGTATTCATATCTGATAAAAGTTTTAAAATCATATATTATCATTCTCATTCCAAAATTTAATACCTATTACCATCTCCATTAAGATTAAAAAAAAATAGATTTCTAGTCGAATTTGGATAAAATTAACATTATGATCTTCATTTATTGTATTTCTTATTTTGTTATATTTTGTTTTCTATAAATAGGCTTCAAGTCTTAATGTCAAATACAAGTTATTATAATAAAGTTTTTTTCTTTTTCATCAATTTTTTTATTTATAGTATTTTAGATTCTGTTTAATTATTTTATTCTGTTGTATTGTTCTGCAACTTTTGCGTGTATCCCTTTCAAGTTTATTATATGGTAAGTTTCTGTCTCTGCCTACATGTTATTGTAGCATATTAAAGTGGTGTTATTCTATATTTATTAAATATTTAGTTTTTTGTAGTTTGATATTCAAATTGAATATTATCATCTATTTTTAATTGATTTTGGGTTAGATATTTAATAATTATTATATAGCATTGAACAAATTAAACAAGGCTAAATGGTTAAAAATAGTCTTGAATTATAACTCAATAATTTTTAAACCTTTAATATTTTACTACAATTAATTAAGCCTTTAATATTTTATTTCAATTTAACTAAACTCTTAATTAGACAAAGTCTAGTCGTATAAAAAAATTGAATCAAAATAATTTTCAAATTACAGTCAATTAAACATTTAGAAATTTTAGAGAGATAGTGAGAAGAAAAATAAAAAAATTTATTTTATGTAATTTTAATAATGTTAATTTTTTCATTTAAATAAAAATTGACTTAGATATAAATAAATATTGAATGAATGAATTAATTACAATTAAAAATAAAAACTTGAATAATTTTTTAATTATAGTTCAAAATTTTTTTATACCTTTTAATCATTAAAAAAACAAACAAATTAATATAAAGTTATATGAAACTCACACACTATAAAATTTAAACATAAAACTTGGTTTCGAGGTTTGTTTATTACTAAAGACAAGGCTTATTGGCATTTAGCTTACAACTTCAGTTTCCCCAATTGTTGAAAATTTTTCTTTTTTATTTCTCCAACTGCTATCTAAATATCTTCCCAAAGATACTGAGGAAGCGACTGAATCAAAAAAGTAAAAATTGTTTTTCTAGAAAAGAAAAAAAAAAAACTCATACAAAATCAAAATTTGTCATTTACTTGTCCATCCCTTTCATGACAGGAGTTTCATGCCCATCCAACCAAAAAATAATACGCCTACCTAACATGTATCTACATTTTTAAGTGTATATTTATAATATATATATGTATAAAATAATTATTGATGAATATATTGATTTTATCGGTGGAAAATTTAGAAAAATTTAAAAATATCCAAAAAGAATTTCCTGCATATTTTTTTTTTATTTTTCAATATTCTTAGTGTTTACTAACACTTTAACTTTATATTTAGAGCCGCCTCACCTATCTCTAAGTCTGGTACTTGTTTTTTATACGCAAATTAAGATTGCAGCAGCCGCATTTATAGTGACATTAAAGTTTGGTTTGGTTAAGAAGAAAATGTCAACCGATTTTCTAATTACCCAAACAAGAAAGCTAAGATATTTTCAATTTTTAAGTTAACAGCGCATGATTTCTAATTGTATTTGATTCTTATCTGTGGTTCATCATTATCGTGCCGTCGCAAATAAGAAATATATAATATATTATATATGGATGATCTAATGGGCCGGTGACTAGTCCCACCTGTCAGCATCATCCCCAGTCCCCAGTCAAATATAACTCATCTCCCAAAGCTTTCATTCTCGAATTAATTTACTTGGAAAGCTGTGGGCCAAGACATTAGTATTTTTTTTTTTTTAAAGCAGAGCAATGTTTTATTGCGTAAAAAAATAGTTTGATTCGAATTTAAATTGTAATATTTTTTAAAAATTTTTTTATGATTAAATTAAAAAGCGAAAGACAAGACATTAGTATGTTGCTTTGCTTTCTTCGTTCCCCCGTTTTTGTGAAAAATTTTAAAAATAAAATTAGGTTAAGCATTAGAGTTTAAAAATAAAATTTAAGATTTAAAGTTTAACGATAGGATAGGATTCTCAAACCCTAAAATGCTATAAACATTTGTTGGGTCGAAGATAAAAAGTTATCACCTTTTTAATCTTTGAATATTCCAGTTAAACCTTCCATTGAGTAGTTTCTAATTATTGACTTTAAAATTGTAATTTTTTAAAAATTCTTTTACTGTATAAGTATCCTATCAGATTAAAATTTTTATCCTACTTACTGTATGAGTAGAAAACATGGTAATTGTGAATCTATCAAACGTAAGCATCGGCTGAAAACCTGGCTTTTATATCATCCCAATAACTTTTTAACATAAAACAAATTGACTGTTGGAATGTCTCTTTTATTTATAAAATTTCAATGTGAATTTTTCTATTGCCACTCAGAACAAATTTAGGATACTCCTGCTCTGCTCTTATCATTTAGGCATGAATTCTGGCTTGTTTGACTAAATTTGCAGGCTGAAATTTCTCAAAATTGGAAAGTTTCCACAAAAATATATTTAGACGTACGGTAAAATTAATTTTAATGTGACCGAAAATAAGTGATGATAAAATTAAGTATTATATAATGATATTGGATATTTTAATGGTAAAATTAAAATTAATTTTAAAAATATGTATTCAAATATAAAATAGCAATAACAATGAAATTAGATATAACAATCAACTATCCTATCAAAATTATTTGACTTTCATAATTAAAAATCCTTTTATTATTATTATTTTTAATTTTTCTTACAGTCGATTGCTTAGGGTTCAATTATCATTGAACTCTTCCTTTTAGTTTTTCAATTTTACCTTAAGACAAGAGAAGCGACTGCCCTAGGATCCAATTATCACTGTACACTTCCTCATCCATTTGAAGATTAGAAGGGAAATGAGGGTTTCGGCCCCAACTGCACCGCTGGTGTGCTCAAGGGGACTTATTCTTCACAAGCACTGAGACTTTAAAAAGTAAAAATTAGAAGATTTTAAATAGGGCAAGCAATCTAAATCTCTCTTGGTATTGGTTAGGGCATTTCCATTGAAGTTTGGCATTTCACAGCGTAACAACAGATTCTGAATCATAGCTAAATAGGTAATCATCAACTGAAAGCATTATTTTATTAAGCAACAAAAGACAACAGTACAACTGCAGAAGAGAAAAAAGTACTGTGATTTATGACTAATGGTGATCCTGCAAATTTGCTTAATTCATCATTACATCTACTGTTTCAAGAAAAAAAATACAAAAGATGAATTTAACAACTCCAAAATGTACAGAATCAGAAATTGATTCCATGCCCCGAGCAGAAAATTAAAGCTCGCGAAGGATGGACCAATTGTAAAGGAGATCACCAAACTGTCTCCTGCACTCAAATTGGATTGTAACTATTTCTGCAACATTACATCGACAAGAAAAACAACTAAAAAGCTTGCTTATTAACACGAAATGACACTATCTAGTGATATACTGGATACTTCTAGAACCAAAAGACATAGTGCGAGAACAAAAAGCTGAAAGGCATGAGGTCGCTGCTAAAAGGCCTGAAAAATACGCAACCTTTTTGCAGGTGTGATGAAGTGGGGAGAGAATATGAGGAAAATGATTTTGAAATTTTGAATCATTTGGAAAGAAAAAAGTGGAGCTGAAGCCAAAATATGAGGAAGCTACTAAAGGAACCACAGGTTGGTTTGGTGAAAAATCTACAACCAGCAAGGAATAGAAGGATATGAAAAAGAAACTAAAAATCTCATAAACCTAGGGGACATAAGGAGAGTGGAAGTCAGAGGCTGGTTTCCTGAAAAATTCTCAACCTGTGAAGAAAATCTAAGGGTGGTGGTCTAAGCACCTCATCAGCAAGAATACTAACCAGAAAGACGCACACAATGACAAGGAAAAGAATGGTAGAATCAGAGAGATCTATCCTATAAGGCTTTACCTCTAAAAAGCTGGATTCTATGGCTTACCTATCAATCTTGATCTCTCCAAAAGAAGGGTTTCATTGGACATGAAGCGGAAGAAGAAGAAGCAGAGCTATCTTGTTGTTTTCGGAGATTAGTCTCACCTGATTCCCGCTGATTTTGATTGGCGAAAGGAAGATTTGAGGGCAAGAGAAGATTGTTTGTGGTATCTAAATCATCCCACACAGGACTACCAGGACCCCAACCTGCTGGAATTGCATTGAACCAAGCTTCTGCCATATCTTCCCACACCAATTCCTGAGAACCAGAAACGCTTTCCCCTGCTCCAGAACCCTCTGCTGTCATCTGCACCTCATCACTGGCTGCAGCCTCACTGGACCCCAATCCTGAATCACTGTCAGGATTCTGTCCTTGAGGCTGTGCTGGTGGCGGCATCATTTCCATTTCTGAATACTGCAAATTTAGGCCTTTCAGTTCTTGTTTTGGGAGATCCTGATTCTGATTTGGCTTTGAACTTTCGTGAGGAGTTTGTAGAGAGGAAACAGTTGAACCTGGGGCTGTGGACGTATCTTTATCCTTATTGACGAAAAGCTCGGGGAAATTGAGCCTTGCATTCTCTCCTCTCAACTTGAATGCCTCGCGATCATAGGCTAAGGCAGCATCTTCAGCATTGTCAAATGTGCCCAGCCAAAGGCGAGTCCTGTTTCGAGGAAGACGAATTTCAGCTACCCATTTGCCCCAGTGTCTCTGCCTCACGCCTCGATAAAGCTTGGTACTATTTATCGGCTGCCCTGGCGGCCTAAACGATTGTCTACTGTCCTGCCCTAATCTGCTCATCATCATCATCCTCCCTCTTGGACTCAAATTCAATGCATCACTCCAGTATTGAAAAAGTTGTTGCTGCTGCTGAGGTGGTAGGGGTGATTCTCCAGAGAAAATTGGCCGATAAGCATAACCATATTGCTGCAGAGGACTAAAGGAAATCATGTGTTGCAGGTTTTGTGGCAATGGGCGGAACATTGGCATCAGAATCGGAGTATTTCCATATTGTTTAGGAAAGTAAATTGGCTGCTGAGATGGATCACAAGCAAAAGGAAAAGCCAGCCTGGAAGATGGCAAAGAAGCATTGGAAGAAGAAGAAGAACAAGGTGGGAAAAGAGTTAGAGAAGAAGGTGAACTAATAGAAACAGAGGAGGGAGCAGAGAAAGAAGACGACTGATGAGCCAAAGAAGCAGAGGTTTGAACATGGTCTTGACGTTCAGGGCCACGGACCTTCTTGAGAGGTCTTTGTGACATGGAAGCTTCATCAAAAACTGGCTTCCATTGCCGCCTCTCGAACCCAAAACCAAGTTCCTTGCCTCTGTCAATCTCCCAATCTTGTCCAGCTGTCATCTTCTCTGTCTCATCACCAACACCCTTCTTGGAATTACCAATTTTTTTTGCTGCAGTCATTGATACTGATAAGCATTGGCTCTCTGTCTCTGTATAAATAAAAATTTGATAAATTCTAGTCAAAAATTAATTCGATAAGGGATAATAAAGAAAATAATTATGACGGAAAGATTGGAATCAAATGTATATATCAAGAGGAAAAAAGGTGGACAAAGATAATCTTAAGTACCCCAGATTAAATTTGGTCAGAAGATTGAAAAGCGAGACTGAATTTTAGAATCTGGAAGTAGAATTTAATAGCTAATCCTATGGAACCAAAAAGACAGAATCGGAAGCGGTTTCAGGATCATTGACCCCACATCCCAAAATTCCCAAAACTCTGCGCTGGAGATCAAACAGAGAGAGCGAGCTCTACTTCGATGATGTAAATCCAAAACGGGTGCTCAATGTTAGTTTACGATAGCTATAACAACGTGTTGATTTCGCTTTTCCCAGAGTAAATTTGAGAGCTTTTGAAGTGAAGAAGCGATGAGTTGAAAAAAAAAATTGTAAAAGCGGGGGAGGGACTGTTGTTTGAGAAAGGTAGAAGAAATGCAGGGGAAGTGGGGGCTTATAAGAGACCCAAAAAAGATTTAGAGAGAGAAGCGGAGAATTTGTACAAGTCTCCTTGTATTTGGTTGGTTGGTTTTTTCTGGACCCCGCACGAGGTTGGCCTTTTTTAGTTTCGTTGCTTCTACTCCAATTTCCTTTTTTTTTTTTTTTTTTAACGGGGACTCTTTTTTAAAATTCTTTTTCATTATATAATTCATTAATCATAATAAAAAATTATATAAATTTTGAATCTTTAAAAATATAAATTTTATAATTTTTAATAAACCTTATATGATATTAAATTATAATTAATTAATTATATACATATATTATCATGCCTGTGTCTTTTTTTACTTTAATAAAGAATCTTAAAAGCCTCATATAGAATTCTCTTGAACATAAAAAATGCGAAAGCTACAACATAGCAGTATGGCAGTATCATTTTATTGAGGGGAGCCAGGGGGCTGCCATTACCAAGACAAGGTACGGAAGGGGAGGGACTGTGAGTGGCGCGTGGGAATATAAAGTACAGATTCACAATTTGTGTGTTTTCGTGAAAATGATATATATATATATATATATATGTTTCGTAAATTATTTATATGTAATTTGAATAAAAATTAAGTTTGAGTTTTAACGGTTTAACTTTTTATTTTAAAGTTTTTAATTTATTTTTAAATTATTTATCTAATCACGTATTTATTCGAAAAAGATATTACATATTTAAATTTTTTTAAATTTATAATTTTTAAATATTAATTTTAATAAAATATCAACTGATTAATAGAATAATTGATAATTTAAATGATTCAATTTATTGAGTATTTTAATATCTATTTGAATAATTCATGAATTTAATTAAAATTTTGTATTTTAACATAATTTATATTATTTTATTTATATATATTAATTTAAGTTTGAATTTCTTGAAATCAAATAAAAAATTGAATTGAATTTTTATTCAATAAATAAATGTAATAGAATAAATTTAAATAATTTAAATTTTATTTCAAATTAAATTCAAATTAAAAATTAAATTTTAAATTTTAAATAATAAATTTTAAATCGATCTGAATTTGTTCAAAGTTTAATTTAGCTCAATTACATCTTCACGCATGGTAACATGGCCGAAAGTTGAATGTAAATGGTGGACGGTAGTTTGAAAAGACTATGGTGCGCTGCGTTGCAATGCGCAGCACATTCTAAAATTTTCTGATTGGCCGCTATTGGTGTTACCCTTCTTTCTGATTACAGAATTTAAGCAGCCGAGGCAGTCACAGCCAAGATTCCAACATGTGATATTCAAGGGAGCTTCTCGCATCGGCGCCTACTGGTGCGTAATGTTAAATGGAAAGAGTTCCTTAGTAAAAAATTTTATTAAATTTGATAATAAATATTAGTTGATGCAGTATGTTTATACGTATGACAAATACATGGATGTTGAAATTATTTAAAATTTTATATTTAATTTAATTTTAAAATTTTATATTATATAAAAAATGAAAAACAAAAAATTATTAAAATTAGAAAATTTTAAATATTACTTATTTTACGCTGTAATATATTCTTTAGTTTTTTAAAATTTAAATTTTATTTATTTTAAATTATAAAACTAGATAGAATATAAAAATTTATTATATCTAGAAATTAAAAAAAAACAAAAACGTATTAAAATAGAAAATTTTAAAATTATTTATTTTAAACTATAAAACTTTATAAAATATGTTAAAACTATAGTATATTTAATTTTTTAAAAAAACTTATTAAAAATAAAATTTCAAACTTATTTATTTTAAATTATAAAACTAGATAAAATACACAATTATATTATATCTAAAAATTTGAAAATAGAAATTTGAAAATTTTATTTATTTTAAACTATAAATTTTGATAAAATATATTAAAACTATATTAGATTTAAAAATTAAAAAAAACTTATTCAAAAATAAAAATTTGAAATTTATTTAATCTAAATTATAGATTTTTATAAAAGTTATTAATATATATTATATTTGAAAAATAAAAATAAACTTCTTAAAAAATAGAAAATTTTAAAACTTATTTATTTAAATTATTATATTTGTAAATATGTTAAACATCTATATTATGTTTAAAAAATAAAAAAAATATTTTTTTCTTTGTTCATTTTTTTCTTTCATTTCAATTGTCAAAATTATCGCATCAAAAACTTTTTTATCAAAGTCAAATAAAATATTTAATAACAAAAAAAGGGTTACAATGATGGAATGACCAAATCATTACATACTCGGAAATAAAAAATTAATAAATTATTATTTTTTAATTTAGAGACGAAAATGAAATATTCTTCAAATTTTGACAATTACGGATGTTATTTACATTTATTTTAAAATTTGGCCATTTATGAAAAAGATTAATTTGACATAGAATCAAATGATATTAACAAATTGAAATAATAAAAAAATATTATTGCATTAACTGTTATAAATTTTTTACAAATTATATTTAATTTTTTTAAAAATGGATTGTATGTAAATTTTATGTTCTTTGTTTTTTTTTTTTTTTTTGGTCATTCATGTTGTTGGATGAAAAAAATTTACTTAAATATTCATTAGATCTAAATTTTGAATTTTAAAATTTAAAATTGTTCCTTGTATCTTGAGGTTGTTGTCTTATGTTAAAAAACCGTTTATTCTGGCTTGTCAATTAGCATATGTTACATATCCTTAACTGTTTGTTTGAGTATAAAAAACTCTTGGTTCAATTGGATTACATTTGTTTCGTAAAATTTATTTTCAAAAAATATTTTTTGAAAAGCAGTTGTATTTTTTGAAAAAAAAGTACAAATTTTTTTTATTTGGATGAATTAATTAACAATATTTTTTGTCGTTTAGCTATGTTTTGAAAATTTTATTTTTTTTAAATAATACTATTATAACTATTAAAATATTAAAAATTATTTATTATTAAAGTCTATTAAAATTATTAATATTCAAGAATAATTATATTTCAATAGTAATATTTAATATTAGAATATTATATTAATATAAAATATTTAAAATAAAACTATTTATTATTCTTTATATTAATATTTTAAAATATTTAAAATAGTATTACTATTTTAAAATATTATTTTTATTAATATTAAAATAGTCATATTTGTTATTACAATATTTATACTATTAAAATTTTATATTTTTTTATTGAAAGTATCTATTATTAAATCATAACAAAAATATTTTTTTTATTTATAGTTATTATTAAAATAGTAATATAACTACCATAATAAATAAAATATAAAAATTATATAATTTAAACTAAAAATTATAAAAAATTATTAAAATTTTCATATTAAGAAAATAATATTACTATATAATTTAACATTAATTATTAAAATAATAAAAATATTATTATATGTTATTATTTATTATTAAAATAATAATATAAGACTATTTATTATTGAAATATTAGAAATATTTATGTTTAATAATATACAATATTAAAATATTTAAAATTAAAATATCAAAAGACTTTTAATGCTAATATTTTAATATTTCAATTAAAATTAAATAAAATATTTTTATTAATATAATAATATTCAAATTGAACTAAATTAAATTTGAGTTTAAAATATTATGTTCAAAGTATTAGTTGAGCATAATTATAAGATATTAAAAGACTTTTAGTATTAATATTTTAATTTTTAAATTAAATTAGATAAAAAATATTATTTATTAATATAATAATATTTTAAATCAGATCAAATTAAATTTGAACTTAAAAAATTATATATAAAATTTGATTTGAATAAAATTATACTCAAACATTCGTTAACCATTCAAAATTTTATCAAATAAATATCTAAAAATACAAAAATTATTTTTTAGAAGTTATTTTTTACTAAATAATTATTTTTTTTCTTTTCTTGTAGTAAGGGCATAAAAGAGGGGAGAAGGGAGGGGGGAAGTAGTTAGCAGCTTTACTTGGGGTTGAAAAGTTCATGCATAAAATGTGCACAATGAAATGTCAAGTTTTCTACGTTACGACTTCACTTTCGGTGGAGGGAAGGACTCACCCAAATAAAATAGAAAAAGAAGAAGAACGAAATAATAATTGTGAGGGTCGATCCGTTTTGTCGCCACAAAGTCAACAGCGTAACGGTGGCGTTAAAAAAGTCGGTGCAAATAGTCACGTGTCGGTGGTCCACCCAATCATTTCCTCCCACACCATCATTTTCTGTCTTTTTTCTTTTTCTCCTCATTAGTCAAACACAGCAACAACGACAACAAAAATTTTAGTACAAGAAATGTAAAATGTGTAGCTTTGGTCTAACAAAACTATCTTAACCTAATCTGCCAAGATTATTCCATAAAGGACATACTCAATGGCCGTCGAAGCAAGCTCTCCTTTAATTAGACGCATGCCGAAATTAAAGCTTAACCCTCAATCTTTTAATTTTTTCTTCCTTAACTAATGAAATATGAAAGCTCATGTTTTGCTTTATTCAAATTTAAGATATTCACTTATGTATTTTATCAAAAAAAGAAAATTGTTCACTTTTGTATTTTTTTTCTTAAATAATGAAAATGAAATCAATAGAAAACTAAAGGAAAAAATGAAAAATTAATTAATTATCTAATTTTCTCCTTCATATTTGATTTAAGGTATTAAAATAAAAATAAAAATACATAAATAAAAATAATTATTTATTATCAATTAAATATCTGGAGATTAAAAAATCATGTGTGAAACAAGTTCTACATACAGACGTCTCTGAGTGTAGCAAGGAATAAATTTTATGCGAGTAGATTATTTTCTCATTTTCATTTATGAAGAGAAATTAGAGAGTAAACATATTCATGGCTCGGGCGGCCAACTAGCCCCATCAACCTATCTTGAATCGGGTCATGCACTAAAATTTTTAAGTTGGAATTCGGTTTGACTCATGAAATATTTTATTATTAAATGATTATTTTTATTTAATTTTAATTCAAATATATATTTAAAAATATTAAATATTTATTAATAAAAGAGAAATAATTTTAAT